ATTGTTGATTTAAAATTGAAAATGATTTCACACTTACACAGCTCTGAGCAACAGCAACAACAAGCAAGCAAAGTACGAGTAAAAGCATTAGCAACAACGCAATGAAATGCTGTTGCCACAAAGCAAGAACACGAATAAGACACGCGCGTGCATTATAGAGGTGGAGAAACATCGATGTTTTCGATGTTTTGAAACCAAACATCGATGTAACGATTGTTCTGAAAAGAGTAAGGCGCTCAAAGTCAAAATTAAGTTGGTACATAAAGATTGTATAAACGTAACATATTTATTCATTGGGATTAACATACATCTTTTTAAAAAGATATAAAATGTTTTTAATTAAATCTTTAAAAATATTTAGATTTTTGTTTATAAAAATAAGTTTGTCGACTACGAACATATTAAAAAAAGAGATCAAATGAACCCAATAATCTTCAAAAATATTTTGATTTTAGTTTAGAAACATAAGATTGTCGACTACGAAAATACATATGTACATACATATGTATTAAAAAAAGAGATCAAATGTTTTCCATTATAAGTCTTCAAAAATATTTTGATTTTTGTTTAGAAACATAAGTTTGTCCACTACAAAAGGCTTGAGGCGTCTACGCCGGTCAGAAATAATTTGCCCAGCCTTGCTGAACATCCTTTCCGACTCGCACGAGGTTGATGGAACGCATAAATATTTTTTAGCTACCTCTTTGAAAGGCATCATACTATCTGCGTTCGTCTAAAAATACTTATAATCATTAATTTCAAAATATTTTATTTAAAATCTTTAAATTAACCTTCCAGAATGAGAGAGGATCACATTCCTCCGGTTCATTTATATTTTCCAGATGCTGTCGCAGGATTATAATCGCATCCGCTCGAGAAGATTTAACTTTTGCCTTAATTTTATTTTGCAGAAAAGAAAAATGTGGTTTCTGCGAAGGTTCGGGTGGTGTTGGCGGCTCCCGTGAAGTACTTGACAAAGCGGTGTATATCTCCTGCTCCAAAGCCTTAACTGCCTGATCTGCATTTGAAGACGATTTAAAACCATCCTTTTTAAATCTAGGATCAATCAGGGTTGTTATTCGGGGAACAGTGCGTGTTTCGTAGTGGACGAATCTATCATTTAAACGGCTACTTAAAATTTCGAAGGCACAGACAACTTCTGCAGTTTTAAGATTAGGTCTCAAGTTTTGCAGTTTTTGATGAAGCTCGCATGTTAGGGGAATAACGAGAGAAAAAGTCGCATTCTTGCTGCCGGAAGTGGCCATAGTTGCATCTTGGAACGGAGAAAGAAGTTCCGTGAGTTCCTTTAAAATATCGATTTCCTCGGCGGAAAATGGCACTGGAGCCTTAGGCGTACACAACAAGACAGATGACAATGCTTGCATCGTTTCTAAAAGCCTTTTTATCATTTGAAAGGCACTGTTCCATCGAGTTGACACTTCCTGAATCAGGCCAAGCGGGCTTTCGATATTTTGGGCCTGCTTAAATTTAGCCATTGCAGTAGTGCTGCGTTTCATGAAGGAAACAATAGATTTACATTTAGTCAAAATAGGTCCAAGAATTTCAAGTTTTAGGACATCTTGAACTAGCAAGTTGACAGTGTGCGCGAAACATGGAAAATGCTTAACCTCCAGAAGCTCGCACGCCTTCTTCATGGTGCTGTCGTTGTCGGTCACTATAGAAACCACTTTTCCCATCAGACCCCACTCCGTCAAAACCACGCGAATTGAGTCTGCAATATTCGCAGCAGTGTGGTTAGTGGACGTTAAAAGTGTCGATGTTGACAAAACTGCTGAATTTAGCTGGAATTCCGTATTAATAAAATGGCAGGTTATGGTCAAATAGCTCTCGTTCGTCTTGGAGGTCCAACCGTCTGTTGTGATTGCCACATACTCCACACATTCTAAGGCTGACTGTAGTTGGCCTTTTAAAGACTCGTAAACTTTGAGAAGCGATACATCTCGAAGGTATGTTTTGGATGGTAATTTGTATCGGGGATCCATTTTATGCATCAATGCACGGAATCCTGTATCATTCACAATACTAAATGGTTGCACGTCTAGTGCAATCATACGCATTACATGTTTGTCCAGTTCTTTCTTACGCTTAGAATCAGCTGGGTACTGCACATCACGAAGTAAAAATGCATCCAACTTTGTTGATACAGGAAGTTTCTCTGCAGTGAGGCGATTGGGATGTATGCGTTTTAAATGGTCCGTGAGGTTAGTCGTGTTGCCTGCCGTTTTTAACATTTTTCCGCAGTAAGTGCATATCGCCTTTTTCCTGTCGTTGGTTTTCTCGAAATGCTGCCAAACTATGGAGCCTTCCCGCTTACGTTTTGAGGACTCAGCCTCGGAGTTTTCCTTTGATGTTCCTATTAAATATAAATCATACAATTAAAGCCATAACACAATGTATGTCCAACATAAACATATGTACATACGCACGCGTTTGAAATGTGCATGTTGAAAAATCACATGCGCGTTTACTTATATGATAAATACTTACTTTTAACGTGTTTCTCCATCGCTGAAAGATTACC